CATACTATACATTCACTGGCCACTTGTATTGATTAGTGTTTTCAAAGAGAACTATAGTCGTCCCTCCGCATCCAAGGGAGACCGGTTCCAGGACCCCTGCAGATGCCAAAATCCAGATGCTTAAGTCCCTTATATAAAATGACATAGTATAACCTATGCACATCCTCCAAAATACTTTAAATCATCTCTAGATTACTTATAATACCTAATACAATGTATTATAAATGCCATGGAAATAGTTGTTATAATGTATTATTTGTAATTATTGTTGTATTATTGGTTTTTATTGTTTTTTAATTTTTTTCCAATATTTCTGACCAGGAGTTGATTGAATCGGGGACGTGGAACCTGCGGATATGGAGGGTCGACTCTATTGTACAGAAGACATAAGAAAAGAAAGGAAAACTTGGGCCGGGCGCAGTGGCTCACGTCTGTAATCCCAACACTTTGGGAGGCCGAGGCAGACGGATCACGAGGTCAGGAGATTAAGACCATCCTGGCTAACACGGTGAAACCCCTCTCTACTAAAAATACAAAAAATTAGCTGGGCATGCACCTGTAGTCCCAGCCACTCAGGACGCTGAGGCAGGAGAATTGCATGAACCCGGGAGGTGGAGTTTGCAGTGAGCTGGGATCACACCACTGCACTCCAGCCTGGGCGACAGAGTGAGACTCAGTCTCAAAAAAAAAAGGAAAACTTGATCAGGCATAGTGGCTCACGCCTGTAATCCCAGCACCTTGGGGGGCTGAGGCGGCAGGTCACTTGAGGTCAGGAGTTCCAGACCAGCCTGGCCAACATGGTGAAACCCTGTCTCTACTAAAAATACGAAAATTAGCCTGTGATGCATGCCTGTAATCCAGCTACTCTGGAGGCTGAGGCAGGAGAATCGCTGGAACCTGGGAGGTGGAGACTGCAGGATTGTGCCACTGCACTCCAGCCTGGGTGACAGAGCAAGACTGTCTCAAAAAAAAAAAAAAAAAAAAAAAAAAAAAGGAAAACCAGTGTCAATAGTGTCAAAACATTAAAATGCATTCCAAAATCAAGTGGCTATGATTTGTGGCACTCCTTCGAATTAGCAGTGATAATCAAGAAATGAAAATTGCAATTATTTCTCCTGGGAAAACCACTCTTAGTACTATGCACTATATGCAGATGAAAATGGTAAGGGCTGAGAAGGTAACAGTGTTCAGTTGGTATTTATTTCTCCTGGAAGATGTAGGGATTGGGAAGGAGGCAAGGATAAAGCCGCGGAAGAAGTAATCAAGACTTCATAGTATTAAGGATGGTGGAAAACTTCCCCAGCCAAGGGAGCAGTTCTGAATGCTTTGCTATACATTCCTAGGATAATATGATGAAGAAAAGATAGAAACAGATGTGGGACTTCTTCATGCCCCAAACTGAACTTATTTTCAAAATTTGTTGTCTTTTAAACCACAGAAGTGCTAACTGAATAACCCTATGAAATGCAATGGAGTTCACATATCTTAGAGAATCATAAAAATAGAAATGGAAGTTTTCTTTATTTTTTATTTTATTTTATTTTTTTTTGAGACGGAGTCTCGCCCTGTCACCCAGGCTGGAGTGCAGTGGCCGGATCTCAGCTCACTGCAAGCTCCGCCTCCCGGGTTCACGCCATTCTCCTGCCTCAGCCTCCCGAGTAGCTGGGACTACAGGCGCCTGCCACCTCGCCCGGCTAAGTTTTTGTATTTTAGTAGAGACGGGGTTTCACTGTGTTAGCCAGGATGGTCTCGATCTCCTGACCTCATGATCCGCCCGTCTCGGCCTCCCAAAGTGCTGGGATTACAGGCTTGAGCCACCGCGCCCGGCCTATTCTTTATTTTATTCTAGAGGGAAAGGGCTGTTTTGGGCACTTTCCATGGCTGGGGGAGCAGAACCGATTTACTTGTTAATCTTTTGGCAATTGAGAAATCTTTTTTATTTTTGAAATGGAGTCTTGCTCCATCACCCAGGCTGGAGTGCAGTGGCACAATCTCGGCTCACTGCAACCTCTATCTCCTGGGTTCAAGTGATTCTCCTGCCTCAGCCTCCTGAGTAGGTGGGATTACAGGCACCCACCACCACGCCCGGCTAATTTTTGTATTTTTAGTAGAGATGGGGGTTTCACCATGTTGGCCAGGCTGGTCTTGAACTCCCAACCTCAGGTGATCTGCCCACCTTGGCCTCCCAAGTGCTGGGATTATAGGCGTGAGTGCCCAGCTGGCAATTGAGAAATCTTGACCTCGGATTCCTAGCTGTGAACTTCCTCTTCATCAGCAACTGAGTCCACACTGGAACATTTTCAAAGGAGTACTAGTAAGATTCACCCATCAAAATGTGGTGTATTAGAAGATCAATGACACCCTATAGCCTTTGTTCCCATGGGCAACTTTGCTGTAAGACACGTAGTTAAGGATAAAAAATACTTCAGAAAGAATCTGACATGTATTTTCAAATGCAGTGAGTTAGGCAGAATGCAAAGCAGAGTAGCAAGAGTTAATGTTTTTACCTACTGCGTACTTTTGCTTTTTACATGTGTATTTAATATGTTCAATGTAGCAAGAATTGCTGATATTATTACTGTGAGGTGACATATGTAAAAAATAACCCTAGGAACAGGTAGTATACATCAAGACCAACACAAATGCATTGATAAAGATGGAAAACACAAGAGAAAAACATTAAATACTCTTATTACAAGAAAAAAGGATAAGGGTTAAATGATTCAAAATCTAAACAAAAATTAATATACAGATATACTGTCCTCCATTCAGTGCATGAAAGAATTATCTGGTTATAAAAATCAAGTATCCTTACATTCTGGGTTTCTTGGATACAATTTTCTCCTCAAAAATAATTTTTCAACTATTCCAGAAAATTTTTAAATCTAAAGTAACTCTTTTTAATCTGGACTCCAAGAAGAAAAAAGAAATGAATACTTACAATGAATTGGCTGCTCTGCCTTGAAAAAAAAAAACGAATTTTACTTTTAGGTTACAAATAATGGGGATCATGATGCAATTCATATTCTAGTATTACCCCCAAAATAAGGGCAGATAAAATCAGATTCATCATTCTTTGTGATAAGAAATAATACCTTCTCAGAAGGCAAAGAAAAGAACTTCAAGATCAGTAATAATGGAGAAGAGTTAACAAAATGTTTGAAAATTCTAGCATTATAAGATTAAACTTAATAATCAAAGGGCTGTCAGTTTTTATACGATTGTCATAAAAAATGAAAGTCAAAATTCTTCTTGGTAAAGTCAGGTGTCTGGACAAACTGTCACCTTCATTCAGGTTACCTTCGCTTGAGGTAAAGACCTTTTCATCTGAATTTGCATGAAAGGTTTCTGCAGGTTGACAGCATGAGGCTCTTCTCCGGTGTGCACTCCTAGGCATCTGAACGCTGTGTGTGATTAACTGAGGCTCATTTTATTATAGTTTAAATCTGCAACATACATTCAATTCAGTTTTTTTTTTTTTCCTCAACAGTTCTGCCTAGTATCCTTGTTAGGCACAGGCAAAATCTTTATTTTTACAAGGACTAAATCATTATGAATTTGAGAGAAGTCAGTCATCAGGAACTAGCAAATACAGTCATGTGTTACTTAATGACAAGTATACATTCTGAGAAATACACTGTCAGGCAGTATTTTCCTTGTCCGAACATCATAGAGTGTACTTACACAAACCCAGATGGTATAGGCTCCTACACACCTAGGCTATATAATATAAACTAGTGCTCCCAGGCTACAAACCTGTACAGCATGTTACTGTACTCAATACTGAAGGCAACTGTAATACAATGGTATTTGTGTTTCTAAGCATAGAAAAGATACAGTAAAAATATGGTATTATAATCTTATAGGACCACTGTTATATATGCAGTCTGTGGTTGATTGAAATGTCATTATGAGCTGCATGACTATATACTGCCAATTTTTCACTTTAGAGACTATAAGCCTAAAGGAAAGAGAAAGCCTGCGATTAAACAATGCTTTAACCTGCGATTAAACAATGCTTTTCAGTCTCTGGAGTTTGGATTCATAGTTGGTATTTATCAATGGTTGCTTGTATCACAATTTTAACATAAAGGATCACCCAGTTATCTTTCAGAGTCTAAAATTAAAGTCTTCATATCTTTCTATTGTGATTTTGGTGTATGTATGTATTATTAAGCACAAAACCTCAAAAGATCTGGAAAGTGCCATAGAGCAAGGTGCTTTCATAAGGGAAGTAGTTTTTTTTTTTTATTAAAACATTTACTCATTCTTTTTTGAACAGGCAGTTACACAATGTAGTTTTAGCCTGCTGAAGTCAGTGGCTAGATAAAGCAAAGTCACTATCAATGATTTGCTTCTGAATAAAAGCCTTATATCCCAGGAACAGAGCAGGCGCTCCCTGGCGAGTGAGAACCAATACCAGTCAATTCTGCTGGTAGCAAGCAAGATACCTGGATAGAAAAGTAGCACTCCAGAGGCCTCAGGAGTGCTAACAACTCTCTTCTCCCTTGTGCTCAAAGTCTCATTCAATGTATTTACTTCTAGTGTCTACATGAATATGCTCACAAAAAGTCTGAATAAAAACCAGATACCATTTAACATTAGTATGTTATTAAAATTTTACCTCTAGTATTCCTGGTGAGAAGTGACAAATTCAAGCAAATGGTTTTGTTATCACTTTTGGGCTTCATCATGATAAAGAGAAAAGATGTTGCTAAAAATACGACAACCCCTGTCACTTTATTGCTATGGTCTAAGTGATTTGGGCTATTTAGTGATTTCTGTATCATCTAAGACAAACAAATCAAGAACTCCGTTTAAAGCAGTTATTGCAGAAATACACTGTGTGAGGCCCCAGTTAAGCTTTTACTGATTTGAAGTGTTTATCTCAAATAAAAATTAAAAAATACTTTTCACTGAAGGTAACTGAGAAATTGTTTGATTCAACATAAAGACGAAGACACATTTTCTTCTATTTTTTGAGACAGTACACTTTGTGATTCACAGGATAACTTGCATCAGACGCAATTTAATGAAAGCTCTCAAATAAGCGATTTTATTCCTATCCATGATTGCAGACATTTACAAAACCATAACATCTGAGTTCACCTTAAAAAATAACTTATATAAAGCAGTGATATACACAGCACAAAATAGTTCAGGGAGGGGGCAGGAGCAACTTGTAATAATTAAAATGTAAACGTGAAAAAAAGGATGGAATAAAAGTCCCTACTTATTTCTACTTAAGATGTCATGTGATAATATTTTACAATGTCCTGTGGGTCAATGTATGTATGTGTATATGTCTGTATAACATACACATATACAGTACATTCTCTTTCCCACACATATACATACACACATAATTATTTGCAGTTCAGTTTAGGGCAATTCTAATATGCCACTCCGTACAGTTGTTTGAATCACGTTTGGACCCGCTTTCTTCACAAAAGAGGGGAGAGAGCAGGAAATAAAAAGGTTGGTTTGGTGTGACTGAGATTCCTTTGTTTAACTGTACACTGTGATGAATAATTTTCTTCCGTAGTAGTTCTGTGAAGGGCTGACTCACTGTGGTTTTCATGAGGAGACTTGGTAATGGATCACACGCTCATTGTCATGCTAGGGGAGTACTAGAAGGAAAGAAGAATCCATATTTTAACAACAATTCTTTTAGAGATCACTAAGGTTCTTCTTGGTACAACAGAAATGAAGAATTCTAATTTCTTATCATCTTTTATGTGCAAGCTTTTCATCTCATACAACATAAAATAAGAAACTATAAAAAAAGTAAACTGATACAGACTTAACCTAATACTGAAATTTTCAATATTTCCCCTGGAAAGCATCAAGTCCTATTCTCTCCCTGCACCCAGAAGGCTGATCATTACCCAGTCCCTCTGCCTCCTCCCTCCAGACAGATTGATGTTTTGCAGGCACTTGTAAAAACCTTGGTTAAATTTAGTCCAAGGCTGGATCATAACTAAGTAAGTATGAGGACTAGTCTTTGCCACCTACTAGCTTGTAAACTGAGGAGGCTACCTAACCTGTCTTGACTTCAGTTTCCCTATCTGTAAAGGGGCTTGGGGAAGAAGAGATATAAAATCCCTAAACCAAGTATTTATTGAATACATAGAAAGTGCTCAGCAAGTGTTAGGTTAATATTGTAGGGAAACAAAACAAAAACAAGTGCAAGCTGGCCCTGGGAAGCTCTCATTAAAGCACTGAAAATACTTAAGAAACTAATTTATACTGCAGCATTTAAGCATCTTGCCCATAATCTGTGCTGTAATCTTTTTTTCTGAAACAGGGTCTCACTCTGTCACTCAGGCTGGAGTGCAGTGATCTCAGCTCACTGCAACCTTGACTTCCCTGGGCTCAGGTGATCCCCCCACCTCAGCCTCCCCAGTAGCTGGGAGTACAGGCACAAGCCACCACACGTGGCTAATTTTTGTATTTTTTGTAGAGATGGGGTTTTACCATGTTGCCCAGGCTGGTCTCAAACTCCTGGGCTCAAGCAATCTGCTCGCCTTGGCCTCCCAAAGTGCTGAGATTACAGGCGTGAGCCCCTGTGCTCGGCCTGTGACTCTAACTGCAATCCAGTCATTTTTGCATGTGAGTAGGAACATCATTGTTACATGCTGACTTGTCAGTTTGATGAGGCTGACAAATGATAAAAGGTGAGGGTTTCAGAGGTTTGGAAAAAAATGGTTTCAAAAATGATTTAGAGAGAAATAAAGAGCAATTATTTTGCTAATTGTGCCACTGTACCCTCATATTCTTGGGGAATAGACTGTGACAGAAAAGTTCTACAGCAGCACCATGCAAGAGAACTTTCTTCAATGACATATCTGTTCTGTGGTCTGTGCTGTCCAACTTGGAGGTCACTAGCCATATGTGCCTACTGAGCACATGCCATGTGATTAGTGCAGTCAAGACACTATATGTTTAATGTTATTTACTTTTAATTTATTTAAGTTTGAGTATCCACATGTGGCTAGTGGTTACATTTTGAACAACACAGCTCTAGACTATCTGAGCTGTGGGGAGAGGCATCTAATCCCACATGTGGGATTGAAGACTCTTTGGATGAAGACAGTTTCTAAATTAAAATATAAATGTGGACCCTGAAATGTGAAATATTTTAAATGTTTTATTGGAAGCTCATGAGGACCAGGGTAAAAGGCAATTACCTTCAACATGCTAATAACAATTGTGCCTCCTGGAAAAAGGCAGATAAAGGCAAAGGGATTGGTCCCAGGCTCCAGGAACCTAACCAGAAGCTGTGATAATCCTGGGTAGGGGAGCACAAACTTTTCAGAAAGTTGGCAGAAAGAGAATAAAATGAAGTGAATTCTAGACAAGCTGAGACCGGCTGCAGAAATCAGAAAGGGCATATAGGTGTATACTGATGTAAGGACGGATTATAGTGTGGAAGCAGGACTCCCCAGGGAAGAGCACAGAGGGGCAGTGGCTCAGCTGGCACATGTCTGGGCCAGATGTCATTAGGGCTCAAACCAAAAGCATGCACTGTTCCTGAGGAAAGGTGGGTGATTAGGCCTGGAAAAGGGTCACTGGACTATAGGAAGAGGATTGTTTAATCCTTTAAACATGCATTACATCAAGGAAAATCTATTAATACTTGTTAATCACTTCACAGCCTACAGTGTTTCAGTACAGGAAAGTGAAATTACATACTTGAACTGATCCTGTAGGTAGGATTATAGTGAGTATATGGTGATTAAAAGGGGAGACTTTTAGACAGATCATAGGAGAACAAAAAAAAGAGGGAGGCTGCCAGAAACAAGAAAAGAGATTCAGTTTAGACAACCTTTCCCCTTGATCATAGCAGCAGAAAAGCAAAGCAAAGCAAACCCCCCAGTTATAGACAAATGCTGATGACATGGAACTGATCCCTGACCCTGTGTCAGAGGGGAACTTACTACCATTTCATCACATCACATTTCATCCTACCATTTCATCATCACAAACATCATACCATTTAATATGTTTACTCAATTGATCCCATGCACATAATGTGATTCTACGTCTCACATTATAAACAATGACAGCACGCTTCAACTATTCAGAGCCTGTGGCTAAACAGAACTATATTTTGGTATTTAAAAGTTTAGAGGCAAGAATAAATAAAAAGAAAATAAGTGGATAGCAAGGTTTTATTAGAGTAGAAAAAAACAGATAATATGGCAAAATGGGCACAGATAAATTTAATCTATGCTTTCTACAGCTACTGTTACTTACAATAAATACTGGTGATTCCATCAGCACTAATATAACTTTCTGTGATGATGATGTTCTAATTCTGTGCTGTTTAGTGCAACAGCCACTAGCGACACACTGCTACTGAGTTCATGAAATGTAGCTAGTACAACTCAGGAACTGAAATTTTTGTTGTTATGTAATTTTAGTTAATTTAATAGGGCAGATAATAAAGATAATCATTCTTTTAAAACAAAGATTTTTTTGAGTACACTGTGTCAATAATATAAAACAGTAAAAGATACTAAGCATTTCAGAAAGGACCTCAAGGGAAATGCTTTTTAAAAAAGTTTCTGGGGCCAGGCGCAGTGGCTCATGCCTGTAATCCCAGCACTTTGGGAGGCCAAAGTGGATGGATCATGAGGTCAGGAGATCGAGACCACCCTGGCTAACCCGGTGAAACCCCATCTCTACTAAAAATACAAAAAATTAGCTGGGCGTGGTGGTGGGTGCCTATAGTCCCAGCTACTTGAGAGGCTGAGGCAGGAGAATGGCATGAATCCGGGAGGTAGAGGTTGCAGTGAGCTGAGATGGTGCCACTGCACTCCAGCCTGGGCGACAGAGCAAGACTCCATCTCAAAAAAAAACCAAAAAATTATTCCAGTTAATTCATATGTCAGGTAATGTTAGGAAATAGTGTTAAAAATATAGAATAGCCTTCATTCTACTATATATTGTTAAGAGTGTGTACATATGTAAAGCTATACATATGCATATACTCTATTATCAAGCATTTTTATTTGTTGCTATCATCTCAACACTGGCAACTGTTAACATTTTTTATCTGTGATATTTCAAATGTTTTAAGTCAATCTTACAGAAAAATGTTATTTTGTTACTGATTTGTTGGGAAGTTAAAGAGCGAGGTTGCCCCAGGGAGGAAACTCAGTGAAAAAAATAGAGAAAATGAGGGCCCAATTCAGTCAAAATGGAAGCATCAGCTCCACGCAATACAACTCAGAAAAAGGAGCAACCAGCCGGGCACGGTGGGTCATGCCTGTAATCCCAGCACTTTGGGAGGCTGAGGTGGGTAGATCACGGGGTCAGGAGTTCGAGACCAGCCTGACCAACATGGTGAAACCCCGTCTCTACTAAAAATACAAAAATTAGCCAGGCATGGTGGCACACACTTGTAATCCCAGCTACTCAGGAGGCTGAGCTGGGAGAACTGCTTGAACCCGGGAGGTGGAGGTTGCAGTGAGCCGAGATTGCACCATTGCACTCCAGCCTGGGCGAGAGAGTGAGATTCCGGTCTCAAAAAAAAAAAAAAAAAAAGAAAGGAAAAACGAGCAATCATCTAATAAAGTTTAATTTTTGAGTAGTACAAATAACTGTAAGATGGTATGCTAAACGTATTTAGTACAGTAAAATAGTTTGTATTTATGCCTGGGTGTCTATATATGCAAAGTGCTATTTACACTCCTAAGGCTGTAAACTGCTCATCTTCGGCCGCCATTACTGAAACTACTTCAAAAAATGAAATAAGGGGAAATAACAAAGTTTCTAGGAAAACTCATAGAATGGGCAAGCAAAAAGGAATTTTGCTATAGATTACTATTCTTCAAAGTAGTAGAAAAGTGGCTTACAATTTTCCAGAAGTAAAGGAAGAGTAGGTGTTAAATGGAGTATCATATTTAGAGACATAAAATATTCATGGTGTACTGTACTGAGACCACACTTCAATGTTTCTATTGTACTGCTGCATCAATATGTGATGACATATTGTAATGTTTATGCCAAAATGCTGTGATATCAGGTTGCCCTGTTTCAAAACTATTCTGTGAGTCTGGCTCTCCTTAACCAGATGGTAAAATGGCTCTTACAAAGCAGTCAACAGCATTACGGTTTGGTTTGGTTAAAAATGTAACCCTTAAAGATATTATTTTAAACGTACACCAACTTATTTTATCTTTTAATGTGAAATGAGATAGCACGCCTTGCAGTGAACTTGTGATTTTTTCCTTATTATGCCCAGTTCATGTACCATAAAATCCAGAGATTTCCATGAAGTCTTTGAACAATGTGTATAAATTTCTGTTTATACATGTCAAGAACACTTTAATTCTTACTACATTTCTGTTTAAGCATCTGTATGATACTTTATTTTCTTAATGAGAGAGAAATAAAGAACAGTTCCTCTACCCTGAGCTAAACAAAAGTGAAATAAATTTAGTATTTATATGATTACATAAAAAAATTGGGGCTGATGTGATTTCTTTACAATAGCAGAAAATGGCAAAGGAGGGGTAAGGGAACGAGAGATAATCTACCATCTTGTTTGTAATTCCTATTTGATGCCATTATTTTAACATCATGTTTACTCAATTGATTATATTTCAGTGCCATGGGAAAATACTTTGTTAAATTAATTCAGGAAATAAGACCAGCTACTTTCTTCACTTGAGAAGCATGAAAAACTATTTTTTTGAACTAAGGTTTTTTGTAGTCTGTACTTTCCAAAACAAACATTTTACAGTTTGAACACTAGGGGGCATCTTTGTTTCTTGAAATAAAGGGTCTTGGTTGTGATCTAAAAAAAAAAAAACCTATGCAGTGAAACATTTTTTAATTCGCATTTTGTTTTGTCAAGCATGTTGGCACCGCAAGGTTTATGACTTTGGGCTGGGCATTTTTGTTTCTATATTAATTGAATGAAGCAGCATGTTTGAGTGTGAAGAGAGTAGGATAGTATCTAGTACATAAAGAGTACTCAATAGATATTTGTTCCCTTCCCAGGCCTCCTTCTGTGATTTAACTTCAAGATAAAACTCGACAGATCCTTAAAAGGCAGACTGCTCAAAAATATGTGCTTTCAGACTTATGTGTATTAAACACTAGAACTTGCATGTTCGTTTATTGAAAAACATTTTCTTTCTGAATTCATTAAGGGTTCTGCCTTTCCTTGATTATAGCAAAGCTAACTTATTGGGGATAACAAGGTTATTTACTTCTTCAAAGCCTTACATTTGTCAGCACCAAATCTCTTTTGTCTTTCTTCCTCTCTCCTCTTATTGCTTGACTTTATAAAAAGGTCTAAACAAAAATGTATGGTAGTATGACAGAGAAAGCCACAGATAACAATGATATCATTCACAACAAGTCCCTTCTTCTCAGGAGACAGAAGAACGGAGAAGCTAGTGTGGACCTGCTTCCAAGGCTGTACTACCTTCCAGGGTGGTGGTGCAGTTTCTCAGTCCACCATCAAATTATTTTTCCTTTTACAACGTTTCTGGTGGGGACCAGAGACAAAGAGGGAAGAGAAAGCAGGGAACTTCTGTTTGCCGCTAACTCTGCTGGCAGTCTAGCATTGAACCCGCTTAGGTTCAGGGGCAGGGAGGGTGGGCCAGAAGTTAGGGGTGGAAGAAGCCCTGTTCCAGCTGTTCTCGTTTCTAAATGCACATATTCACAGAAGAATCTGTTGTCTGCCATGTGCATAGTTCATTAGGGATTGAAGGGAGAAGCTGGTGCTTATTCTGTGTAAGGAAGTTCTCCACATCCTGTCATATCTGATTCTTTGCCTCAGTGAGTTTTCTGATGCCAGTTCTGAATTGGCACCCCTCTTCCAACTGTTAAACAAGGCAGCAGTCACTAATGACAAATTTGGGAAGGAAAGAGAGGGGAGAGTTCCTCTTTTCACTGCCCATAAGTGAAAGTCATGTGGAATCTTTTTAAAAAAGTTTTTTTCCAACTCCAAATTAATCATTTCCTCTGACTTTTAAAATACCTGGCTTATATATACATTATAGCACTCATTAATCTGACATGTGTTAGTTATATAAACCTCTGTTTTTCCTATTGGGTTGCATTCTTTGAAAGTAGGTGTTATATTTATTTCAGAATACCTTGGTCTTAACCTGATGCTTTGCATATAATAGGCTCAATAAATGTTAAACTGAATTGAATTATCAAATATCTCACTGAATTATGCCATTTTATTGCTGGTAAAATTACTTGAAAGGAAATCAATGGCTTTAATTAGATAAAAGTGAACATAGGAAAATTAATTTGTCCATAGTTTTGAAGTAAACCACTCAAAGAACCAGGATCTAAAAAACAATTCCCATAATCTTAAGCATTATGACTTAAATTGTGCAGCTTCTCATGTTTTTCCTTATCACTGACAGACTAAATTTTTTTTTACTGTAAATTGTTACACATAAAAAAATTCTTTGTCCTCACTAATCATATATAGCCTGCAAGTAAAACAAACTACAGATCAGCATAATTTTAACAGAGATGAAGTCTAAAAACAGGGGAAGCCTTGTCCCCTGCAAAGGTCCTACGTGGATATCAGAACTAAAAGAATCCACAGAGCACTCAATCTTGTGTTCTGTTTTGGGAATGGAACAGTCACTCTGTATAAAGCAGCCACTCTGTATAAATGTAGACGTGCTATTAGCCAGTGCTTCAAATTCTGATGGTATAACCTCCGGTAAATGCTAAGTTAGGCAAAATGAGGGCAGTCTCTCTTCTGATTCTGACTGTAGTTTGGTAGGTCCTCCCCAATAAATTTTAAGGATGGCATGAATTCTATGAAGATGAAATTCATTTGGGTTTTGAAATCTTTTATGCTACATTCCAATTCAGTGGTTCTTAGCAGAGAATGTACACCAGCATCAGTAACAAAGCTTTTCCACATTCAAGTATGCCCAGCCCCACTCCTGGAAATTCTGATTCACTAAGTCTAGGGAGAGTTCTGGGAAACTGTATTTTAAAAATTTCCACTGGGGTTTCTAATGTGAAATATTAATGTAAAAAAATCATTACATTATGTAGAACTCCTTGAGAAAAGGCACCATTTTGTCTTTTTGGTCTCTCCAATACCTAGCGTATTGCCTTGGCATGTGGTAAGTGCTCAGTAATTGCTTGTTAAATGAATGAACTTTATTGCTTCTCTTTTTGGTTCTGTCTACTTCTATGGAGAAATGGAATGAACTTTTGTGTAATAGTACAATCACACGCAAGCAGTGACTTGGGTATTTAGCTCAGGTTAACAGACCGCCAATTTGGCCCTCAGTCCAGTGAGGTCTACTATATAAAGTAAGAACAGACTTTTAGATTTTGAGGACAGCACTGAAACAGACCTAGTTTTGCAGCAACCTGAGACACTTTAGTAGCATGAAAACTTATAAAAAGTATCAAATAGGCAACCTGTTTCCAGTTTGTTCCTTTACAGTGGAGGTTCTCAATGAGAAAATTGTTATTACGGTTTTTCTAACTATGTACACAAAATAGGAGTAAAAAAGAAAAAGTTTATTTTAAAAATTATTTTCAAAGATATTCCACTTAAAGGTTCTCCTGACTTCTAAAAGATAAACCTGTTAAACTCTAGATAAACAGCAGTACAAGTGGCTTTATGCATTTATTCTAGCAGAAGAGCTTCAGAAATAAAATCTGGGTGTAATATAGTCAAGGGAATACTTACACTCTCACTCTGAAAAGGATTTAAGAAATTTCCCCCCATTTCGCCATCATCCCTTGGAGTGCCCGGTTGATTACTCAGGCTCATATTATTGGGAGAATTCTGTAAACAAGATTTAGAAAACAAGGCATTGTTGAAGATTTTAATTTCCCTCTTGCATTGTACTGTTTCAAATATTGAATCTATAGCAGCATCCCTAAGGACAAATCATACTTATAATTTTAATCTTAGACTTCTACCACGTATTCTATTTCATTCTTTGCACTTTGACAAGTACTAATGCCTTCCCAAATGAAAATCTAAAAAACAAACAAAAAACCCCCAATAACCTACCACAACTATTTTCTTAGGTTCAGAATCAATATTTATTCAATTTCCCACCCTCAGCTTAGAGAGTTCCTAAAACTCTGGAGAGTTTAAAACATTCCCAGCAGGGGCATGATGAAGAGATCCTACCCACTGATAAGACAAGATGGAACAATAACTCCCTTAGTCATTTCACTAACCAAACTTTGAAAGGTCACTGTTTTAATAAACATTTCCTTTTAATTCTACATGCAGTATACAGATAACACTATTTCAACCATTTTTACATGAACTTTAAGGAAAAAAGAAAGATAGCTAACTACTGTAGTTAAGAACAAGAGACACCTCAGGACTTGAAAATTTATTATGTACTTTTAGAGGAAAAGGGGGCTCAAAAGAAAACTGCTTTAGAACATTTTCCTATCATTACTTTAAGAGTAGATTTACTCTGGAACTTTCCTTGAAGATAAAATGACTGCTATTAGCAATCTAATCAAACACCAAGTTAGCAGTGTATTGCTGCATATTCTATTTAAATTTGCTAGTCTCACTACTACCGCACAATTTTAGCCATGGCAGGATACCTGATACTCCACATCAACAGGAAATATAGAATGACATTGGACTATAAACCATGTTTACACAGTAGTATAACTGTAATGCTTTCAAGGTCCAATTTATTAACTTGTAAAAAAAAAAAAACTTCAGAGTTAAACATTTTTATTTGTTATTTCAAATGGAAGAAAGAGTTTAGATACTTTTTCCTAAGCTATTCCTATTTATATTGTTTTGGAATTAGTTTTTAGATTTTTTGTTTTAAAGAAATTTGCTCAGAGAATTTTGTCTTAACCACAACAATTTGTATCATAAAAATTAACATTTCATGAATGAGGTATTCCCAGAAGAAAATGGTTAAAATGTAAAGCAGAGACAGGTAGATGAGCTGGTAGAAATGCACTGTGTCTTGTCTTGCTGTGCACCCCGCAGGGAGGATCTGAGAACAAGGATCCTCTGAAGTCCATTGGAGCTCTCTATGTCAAGAAACCCCAAGGACTTGGGAAACATACTTTAATAGCATAAAGAGGATTTTGTTTTTTTTGATTAATTTTTCTCTGAGAATGTTAGTTACCCAAGTATATAGAAAAGCAACTATACTTTGAAATGAATCTGAATATCTTGATTTCCTGGGAAAAAAATTAAGTAAAATTTAACTAACTGCATTATTTTAGAATTCATTAATTATTAAAGTTATTAGTTAAATAAACTGTACCTTGAAAATAGGAATGATAATGCTTACTTAGCTCAAAAAGGAAACTGAATTTATAAAAAAATTGTAAGATTTACTCATAATTTATAAATTCTTTTGGATTTCTGTCATTTTATATATAATGGAGAAACTGGTAATACTACAATAAAATACAATCTAATATATATACACATATATATAAGAAAACTCAAGGATGCAGTCGGAAGCCGCATATTTTACACAGTCAAACAAAGGAGTGAAATGAACCCTCTTATTCTTGTGTAACAATCATACCCCCTGTGGTATCAAAGTGCCATGAGAGAAGCAGCGTATCTCAGATTCAGTTAGGGTGCTTTAAATCTTTGCTGCACATTTGCCATATATCATTTCTTGATTTATAATTCTGAAAGTTTGGCTAACTTCAAACCTGATTCCTACCTCAAAGTGATTTTTAAATATTTAGAATTTGAAAGTAACGTTGCATTGCTAATATTTAAATACATACAAAATACTTCCAATGTTATTATTTCTGATTTACATGCAACCTCTTCATAGCATGGTGGCTCAGCATTATACTCTTGTGTGTGTGTGTGTGTGTGTGTGTGTGTGTGTGTGTGTGTGTGTGTAGTGGGGATGGGTATTTAAGGACACTGAGAGGAAGATTAAAAGGATACATTCAACATACAAAACTGAGATAAAATCAGATCTCTGAAACCTATTCCTATTCAGCCTACTGGACCATATTTGAAAAGCTTGAAGTGATAGGACAATCGGGTTTTTTTGGTTTGTTTGTTTTTAACTAGAGTAATCTCCGCAAAATTGGAAAACAACAGAAGCTCCTCAGTGGGAAGTCTTAAGAAAACTGTGCTGTCTGTAATCACTGAGTGACATGATGATATGGGCTAAAGGGCACATTCAATATTGGCATCTGAGGGACAGCTAAGATAGTGGTACCAAAAACCATCCCAGAACAGGTTAGGAGGGTGGGTGGCAATGAATTGTGTGTATGCTTCATTTAACTGTAGCTGTATTTGTGTAATATGTCCAGTAGGTTTCATCAATAAGGCAAGAATATGATGTACAAAAAGGACTTAGGTTGGTCAAAAAGTCACTCTACTTGCTTCAGCACAAAAGAGTAACAAGATTACTTTTAGATACATTAGGCTCATCGGTTACAGTTATTTCAATGAATGTGTACTTTATTCCCTACTTTAAGAGTTTTGCTTGAAAAAATATGGTTAGGATTATACTGATTCCAACTTCAAGAAATTTTATTACATTCTCACTTATCATTTCTTCAAGCTGGAAATTCTTTCTCTTAAGCTATGATGTCATACATGAATGTTTATACACACACACACACACGCACACACATACACACATAATACACCGCAAACACAATTTCCTCTGACTGCCATGTTTAACCCTATTAGACTTCTTGGTCTGATTTCATCTAGCAGGTATTTCATATCTTCTTTTCTTTTCTTTTTTTTTTGAGACATGGTCTCTGTCACCTAGGCTGAAATACAGTGGTGAGATCATAGCTCACTGCAGCCTTGGACTCTTGGGCTCAAGTGATGCTTCTGCCTCAGCCTCCTGGGTAACTAGGACTGCAGATGTTTGCCACCACATCTGGCTAATTTTTAAAATGTTCTGCAGAGATGAGATCTCACTATGTTGCTCAGGCTGGTCATGAATTCCTGGACTCAAGCAATCCTCCCCATTTGGCCTTCCAAAGTGCTGGGATTACAAGTGTGGACCACTGTGCCCAGTTCATATCTTCTCTTAATTAGTAAGTTATTATCCCTTCTCCCATCCTTAAAAATTATTCCAAACCTTTTAAAACTTTTTAAAATTCTAAATTTTTCCATTTTCAAATTAAAAAAGTGAACATTTATAGAAACTGTGGCTCTGCCTATAATTAGAATAAAATAATAATGACATTATTCTAAGTAGTGGATTTTGAACTGCTTTCTCACAGGGTGCCAACAGTGAGTCTTCTAGAGTGTTGTTTTGACTCTGCTAGCTCCCTCAAAGAATAAACTGTCAGTCATTCTCCCAGTGAGTACAACTGAGCTAGAACTCAGGTCAGCACACCTGAGATGATGGTGTAGATCTCTAGTCATCTACCAGCTCCCTTGTGAATGGCATAGGATCTCTAACTGGAACCAAAGTTCTTGAGGTCAGAATGCTTCAGGTTGAAAATACTTTCTTGATAATTTATTAAATATGATATGATCAGAGCTTGTCTTCTCACATACATGTTTTTTTCAAACTCAAAAATATAAATGTGAGATATGTTAATGTGAACTGCAGAATTTCTTTAGCTGCTTTTCTTCTAAGAAAACAAACCGGCTGGGTACGGTGGCTCATGTCTGTAATCCTAGCACTTTGGAAGGCAGAGGCAGGTGGATCACGATGTCAGGAGTTCGAGACTAGCCTGGCCAGCCTGGTGAAACCCTATCTCTGCTAAAAATACAAAAATTAGCCAGGCATGGTGGTGCGTGCCTGTAATCCCAGCTACTCAGGAGGCTGAGTCAGCAGAATTGCTTGAACCTGGAAGGCAGAGGTTGCAGTGAGCCGAGATTGTGCCACTGCACTCCAGCCTGGGCGACAGAGTGAGACTCTGAGTCAAATAAAAAAAAAAAAAAGAAAACAAACCATATACTTCTCTCTACCCGCAACCCCAACTCCAAGGAAAAAGATTTTTTGTTTCATTAATTAAATGGGTGACCCCTCAGTTATTAAAGGGATGAAAGGAATTTCATATATCATCTTTAAAAGTCTTCTAAATTAAAGATAAACTCTGCGTTCTGAGAATGAGGCATATGAGTTTTACTAGGTAATGCTCAACTCAGCAAGAAATAATTTTGAAACTTCATTGGAAGCTTTGAATTCATTTTGCTTACTGAAATAGTGCCATCAAAGTACAATTGATAGTGTGAGTTCCTAGCCTTGTCCACAAAAGATTGTATAGCTAATGAGAAGAAAGATATTCGATGTCTGTATAGCACTTCATAGCCCTTAACATATGTTCACACTTGATTCTCAACAATTTTATGAAGCAGGCAGGGAATGAACTACAAGTTTTATGTTACAGCTAAGCAAACTATGCCTATGAGAGATTAAGTAACGTGTTCCTGCAACTTGTAAGTACTGTAGTAGCATCAGGTTTTCTGATTCTCAATTCAGTACTCTTTATCTTACATATAAAGTGGATAAAATAGAGTATCTATGCAATAAAAAGTAGAAAAACAATTGAAGTAGTACTTATACACAACATTTAAAATGGAGTAAAAATTTTTTTAAAAAATATGTGATACTGGTGCTGACAAAATACAGATTTAACTGGAGAACTATAGAGCTGTGGCTAGAGACCTAAGAGGGACTTTAAAAATTACTAAGCGATGGCTGGGCGGGATGGCTCACATCTGTAATCCCAGCACTTTGGGAGGCCGAGGTGGGTGGATCACCCAAGGTCAGGAGTTTCAGACCGGCCTGACCAACATGGAGAAACCCCATCTCTACAGGCACATGCCTGTAATCTCAGCTACTTGGGAGGCTGAGGCAGGAGAATCACTTGAACCCAGGAGGTGGAGGTTGCGGTAAGCTGAGATGGTGCCATTGCACTCCAGCCTGGGCAACAAAAGCAAAACTCCAACTCAAAAAAAAATTACTAAGCAATAATGGTCAAGGCTGTCTTTTGATTCACAAATAAAATTACTAGAAAAAAACGGGATGGAAATGAACGATAATGAATGATGCCAGGAAAACAAAAGGAAGAAGAAAGCTTCTTGAGATAGCTGAACATGTGCTGGAAAAGGAAGAAATGTGGGAAAAGCAGAGTTAGACTGTGACTGTGCATACCTCGGAGTCAAAGACTGAAAAAATTAGGGTGGGAGTGGAAAGAGGCAGGGAGAGAAAGAATCTGGGGCAGCGGGTATACAATGTGCACGATGCTGTTGATGCATCTTAAGAGAAAAAGTGACTATGGTGCAACAGGCACTAATGGTACCATCACCCAGGGTCGGCCAGCTTAGAGCCCAGAGCCAATGAACCTGGAGCAGACGTGGTGTAGAAATGAGATGCGTAGGAACTCATTTGAAGGCAGATTTAACTAGTCAATTCTAGCACATTAAGTGGCATGTTTATTACTGGGGGATAAATCTTACATTAATTTAAATGCATATTAACTTTGCTTTATAAAAGTTTTTATTTATCCTATTTGTTCGAGCTCCTCTGTTAAACTGAACTTCTTGAGGGCAGAGAACATATCTTGTTTATCTTTGGACTTTTAGAGCCCAGCATAATGCCTCAGTGCGTCAACATTTACTGAATGAAGGAGCTCCTGCCTAAGAATAAACCACTTGAGCGTAGAAATCGTGTTTGTTGTTAGGGAAGTCTTTTCTATGTCCCCAGAGTGCAGAAGGCAACACCCAGCACACACAGGTACACACTGGATGGTCAGTTACTGCTTAGAGCACAAGCAATGCATCATTAGGTAAGAGAGTGTTATGAGGACTGGGCATGGTATGGTGGAAAAACTTGTATCCAAAAACAGGCATGGGAAAGTAAGCAGAAAAGGAATAGCAACCGATCTGACATGAGGGCAGATTAGAAGACATTTAATTCACCATTATGACTTTAAAAAATTTTTAAACTTTTACAAATTATGAAGTACTTTCCCATATAGAATTTTATTACTTTCCCATATGGAATTTTGTTTATATCTATCTTATGTAAAAGGTTTTAGGTAGTTAGTAAAAATTTTAGGAAGATGGCCTAAAACTATCTGGATGATCCTACTTTTCTGTAATTAAGAATCCATCTGTAGATACAAGAATATGCTTCTCAAATATGGCATCAGAAATTTCACTGGTGACCACAAAGCACAATTCGGCTAATTAAATTGTTAGAAATACCTGAGATGCTGGGTGCAGTGGGTCACACCTGTAATTCCAGCACTTTTGGGAGGCCGAGACGGGTAGAGTACCTGAGGTCAGGAGTTCGAGACCAGCCTGACCAACATGGTGAAACACCATCTCTACTAAAAATACGAAAATTAGCTAGGCTTGGTGGTATGAGCCTTTAATCCCAGCTACTCAGGAGGCTGAGACAGGAGAATTGCTTGAACCCAGAAAGGGGAGGTTGCAGTGAGCCTAGATTGCACCACTGCACTCTAGCGTGGGCAACAGAGCAAGACTCCTCAAAATAAAATAAAATAAAATAAAAATAAATAAATAAATAAAAGAAGTATCTGAGAGCCAACACATTCATGGTAATCTGACTTGCAAAGGTCCAGAGAGAAGGCTCTAATAAAGTTACATAGGGAATTTTGTTTTGAAAACTGGCTCCATAAATACCATTTCTCACAGAGGTAAGCTAGTACTCATTATAAATATTTATCTATTTTTAGAAAAGAAAAAGACCTTTCTGATTTTTTCTAAACATGATTGTTTCTAAACATAGACATCCAAAATACATGTGGAGCTTGTGAGGCAAAGCAGCCAGGCAACAGAGTTATAATGCCAGAATTCCAATTAAATATTTTTTAAAACTTGAAGTCTTAATTTAAAATGTTTTTTAGCTCAATCAATCTTATTTTATTTTTCTTGGCAGCAGGAATTTTACATTATTATACATAAATATAAAGTCATCCCTTAATGAATTTCTCTATTTATTGATATAGAACAGACTTCTAAGAGAGTCATTCTGGTGGTAGCGAATAATTAGTTCTCATCAGTAATTCTAGATATATTTGACTCACTGAGAACTATTTTAAATTCATCATGACCTAAATAGTATTTAGATACTATTCTTCAAAAATATAAGGCATTTTAGTAAAGGATTCACTTTAGATACTCAAACTATTGAAAGAGGGAAAATACAAACACATACTAATGGAAGGCTCACTTTCCTGCTTGTACTAATATAATTTTCCTCTAATCACTTTCTTACTCTATTTTGGGAACTAGAACAATTATTGTGGAAATCAGCATTTTCTAATGAAGGTTTGCAAGATGAATTGGATATGTAAATGCAATGCCCTCATGATATATAATTACCACTTTTTCAAATTTATCTCTCCTCACATTTCTTTAGACATCTTTACATTTTCAAAAGATTATCTAAATTCTGTAAGTTTGCTTTACAAATAAGTAACATCTTAATGTGATTAAATTTGTTATTACTTGGGTGTCAATTAATAATGTATAGTATGTCCTGTTAATTAATCTTAGCATATTTAGAAACATTCTTAAAAGACTTATTTTACCCTTTCCTGCAGATAATATGCATTAGTATTCTTAACTTCCAATTAATTATACCTGGTCTTCTACTTTCAAACTATTGTTCAAGAACAAAATTCTGATTAAAAACAACACAGAATACACAGCACTCACCTTGGAAATACTGTCCATATCTCCTGAGCCTGAAACAAAATATAAAAATAAAGCCTTTATTAGGTAAGATTTCATTTATAAATTAAACACTCCTTTAATTTAAATAAGTGAAGTATATTATATTTTCCAGTGTATAGTTCCTGAGTTTTTAAATCTGAAAAAATTCCTCTTCTTTTACACAGTATAGTGAATCAGTACCATCTGATGGAAAATGCAAGGAGTTCTTTCCTTAGTTCCCAATCATTTTTTTTATGGAAGCATGAAGAAAACTGTTGTTATCATAGATTCCTGAATGTGAAATTTTAGAAAGACCATTTATATACCCTACCCAATTAAAAATATAAAATGTATATATAACATATAGATATCTACATATATTTTTTGAAAATGATGCTGTAAATCTGATAAAATATAAAATGAACACTTGCAACAATGTTTGACAATATTTTAAACCATACTTTACTATAATAACCAAAAGCTAAGTATTAATATTAAAAAGTTGATAGCAATGAATATTCATGACAATTCTTCAAAATTAAAAATGTCTTTAAATATTATATTTTTATTTTGATCCTTGGAAGAAATAAACAATCAATATTAATTTCTTTTCTTATGTAAGAAATAGAGACCGGGCACAGTGGCTCAGGTCTGTAATCCTAGCACTTTGGGAGGCCAACGTGGGTGGATCATTTGAGGTCCGGAGTTCGAGACGACCCTGGCCAAACATGGGGAAACCCCACCTCTACTAAAAATACAAAAATTAGCTGGGCATGGTGGCGGGCCCCTGTAGTAGTCCCAGCTACTTGGGAGGTTGAGGCGGCAAATTCATTTGAACCTGGGAGGCAGAAGTTGCAGTGAGCTGAGATCACGCCACTGCACTCCAGTGTACGTGACAGAATGAGACTGTCTCAAAAAAAAAAAAAAAAAAAAAGAAACAGAATCATACATTAACTAACAGAACAATAATCAGATCTTTTCCACAATATTAACTTTACTTTAAACAATTTTACTTCTGACAATTTTCCTAGCATAAAAATAATATAACATTTTAGTGGCATAGTATCAGTCAGCATTACTAATAAAGCTAGCCCTTATTAACCTAAGTTGCAAATAAACAGGCATAATAAATGATTAAATACTGAATGCATATATGCAATCATATATATATGTGTATATAAAATATGTACAGTAATGTTCATTATAGAAAGCAATGAGCCAGTTGCCAAGCATAGGTAAAAATCTTCTGAAAATTATATTCTGGTGACTATGATAATGAGAGCCTTTTAACTATACCAAATATCTTTTTTTTTTTTTTTTTTTGAGACTGAGTCTCGCTTTGTCGCCCAGGCTAGAGTGCTGTGGCTGGATCTCAGCTCACTGCAAGCTCCGCCTCCCGGGTTCCCACCATTCTCCTGCCTCAGCCTCCCGAGTAGCTGGGACTACAGGCGCCCGCCACCTCGCCCGGCTAGTTTTTTGTATTTTTTAGTAGAGACGGAGTTTCACCGTGTTAGCCAGGATGGTCTCGATCTCCTGACCTCGTGATCCGCCCGTCTCGGCCTCCCAAAGTGCTGGGATTACAGGCTTGAGCCACCGCACCCGGCCCCAAATATCTTTTTGTGAATAGTTCTACAAATAACAATATTGCAAAGTGAATTATTTTGCAATAAATTGGAAAATAAAATTCAAGAATGGTGCTGTCCAACAGAATTTTGTGCAATAATAGAAATGTTTCTCTGTGATGTTCATTAAGGTAGTCATTAGCTACAAGTGGCTGCTGTGTACCTGATATGTGGCAGTGCAACTGAAGAACTGAATTTTAAAATTTTCTTAATTTAAAATCAAATAGTCACACATGGCTAGTGGCTAATGCAATTGGACAGTGCAAATCAAGACTTTGCAATCTAGGCAAAATAAGTATAAATTTTTAAAAGCTCAAAAGTCTCTTAGTGTACTGCAAATAATTTCTTGATTATTGAAAGATTTTCCAAGTATCAGAGGGAGGCATTTCCTGACCTTAGGTGGGGAAGCGAAATCTGTATATAACCTAAATTACTCATGAACATATTTTTTCCAACTTATGTAAAAGATGAACCCTTTCCAAAGAAAAAAAAAATCATAACTCCCACCCCCATTGTCAACTTTTAAATTAGTTTATGGTCATGTTACTTAAACATACACAAACATAAAAAGTGTTTTTTGTTTGTTTTGCATTTAACTTATGTGAATGCAAAACAAATATAACTATCTTGTGTGGTATGACCCAGTCAATTTTGCAACACTTGTCTGTATTTCTCACTAGTGTTAGAGTTTTCATTCACCTTGCAGCTATTTAGATTCATATGGTAAGAACGCATAATTTATAAAGTATGTTTTCTTTTTCTTTTTTTTTCTTTTTTGAGACGGAGTTTTGCTCTTGTCACCCAGGCTGGAGTGCAATGGAGCAATCTCAGCTCACTGCAACCTCCGCCTCCGGGGTTCAAGCGATTCTCCGCCTTAGCCTCTCGAGTAACTGGGATTACACGCACCCGGCACCCTGCCCAGATAATTTTTTTTATTTTTTTATTTTTTTGAGACAGAGTCTTGCTCTGTCACCCAGGCTGGACTGCAGTGGTGCGATCTCGGCTCACTGCAAGCTCTGCCTCCCAGGTTCACGCCATTCTCTTGCCTCAGCCTCCCTAGTAGCTGGGACTACAGGCACTCACCACCGTGCCTGGCTAATTTTTTGTATTTTTAGTAGAGATGGGGTTTCATCGTGTTAGCCAGGATGGTCTCCATCTCCTGACCTCGTGATCCGCCCGCCTCGGCCTCCCAAAGTGCTGGGATTACAGATGTGAGCCATGGCGCCTGGACTATAAAGTATGTTTTCAACCGTCGGTCACATACTTGAAATGGTCTTTATCACGAAGACAATGTAGGCAGTGTTCTCTTAAAAGAGAATCATTCAAATTATCCAGAATATGATTAACAATTTTATGTTAAAAAGGAAGCAAACATAAAAATTCAAAAACAAAATTAAGAAATTTTTGGAGAGAACTGAAGTTCTTCTGAGACTGTGTCCATAGAACTCGAGACAAAACAACAACAACAAAACAGCTGCAAGAATACTGCAGCCTTCTGGGTTGGGCAAGCATGACACGTGCCCATAGCAGCAATGTCTCCTTTTATGGTAAGACATGAGATTTCTATAGGTTAAAGTAAATAACTGTGAATATGAACTAGAACAATTCTCACACTTCTGATCTTCAAGTGATCTATAGTTATAACCAATAAAATGTTGATTAAACTATCTGTTTGAGGTAAAAGTTGAAGTGTTTAAAAATGAGTAGCTGGCTATGGAAGAACTTTGGAAACTGTAATATCCACTATGTAGAATTAAGGTTTTCTTCTGAATTTATTCTAAACATCAAATTGAAAAGCCTTACCTAAAGAGCCATTCATGTGATGTGACTCCATTCCTCCTAATCCACCCATGGGACCATCTGACCCAGGGCCCATTGGAAACTATTTTAAAAATGAAGAAAATCACTGTAATCACACTGAAAACAATGGCTTATCTCAATTTTACAATATATTTAACATTACAAGACACTGCCACAACTTATTTTTACTTTCAAGCTATGGAGATCTTTTACTTGATGTTTTTCAGCCTTGTGGATTCTCTAACTGGACTGTTCACCTCTCTCATATCATTTTCTCTGTATTCCACATATAGACGTTTAGCTTAATCCTCAATTATCTCCAAATTTTTCTTCTTCAGATATACTCAGAAACTATATAAATTCCAGTGCAAATTAGAAGATAAGCATTTTCCTCTATGATATTGACAAATTTTCTATTGAAAACCAAAGGTTCTTAAGAAGCTGTTAAGGGTATTGGCTTATTAATAAGAAAAATTCAATGTCATTATGACAACATTAATATTTTTCTTAGCAGGCAATCTGTCTTTGTTTAAATGGATATAATAAATAATTTCATCTTATAGGTTAAATACATTTCACTCCTTGGGGATTGCTGAATATAGCTAATTCTTCTTGGCAGTCTCAACCATGTTACTTCAATGACACTCAGACATTCCAAGGCCATTCTGCTTAACATTTTTTAAAGTAGTGGAATTCTTTTTTTCTTTCCTTTCTTTTCAGGTGAAATCTTACATTAGAAGCCTGGTACAAAACAGGTGTGCTATGATGGGGTTGGTGATAGAGAACCCATGGCCCGCCCACTCAGTCTTCCTCTCATCTCTCTAGAACACTGAGGAAACCTGGAGCCCAGTTCAAAGACAAGTTACCTATGATTACCTTACACTTACAGGTAAGACAGCCCGCTGAAAACACTTTCTCTTCAAATTTCCCATGCCAAAAGCATTTCTACGATGTTGTATGGTGCAGAATATTGACTATGGTGTCTGTGTGTGGATGGAGTGGTGGTGGTGAGTAATCATGAAGGCTTTTAGGGAGAAATAACTGCCTTTGGCAGGCAACCCTGTACTTCACCACCTCTGTGTGGGAATAAAATGGCCTTCTATCACTGTGGGCAATACAAAACACATGCTTATAACATTCCCCAAGAGAATGCCAATTTTGCTTGGTAAAATTGAGTATCTAAAAGCACACAGGCTGGTGTTCAGTAAACAAATTGGAATATGCATGCCTCACTGATGTGAGATATATATAAGTCAAAGAAATTGATTTAAACTTACTGCTATTATTTAGCTTTTATCAAAAGCATAGTTTAGATATGGGTTGAGAAACTGGTGCTGGTAGGCCTAGTAGACTGTGAACTTTTATCTGGCTCCTACAGTGTTTTAAAAGACGCTAAAACTATAGGTATATATATTTGGTCAGTTTAGCATATAACATATATATCTTCTGATTTTTCTTTGATTTCTGCTACCCTATATACACATGTGTATTAACTATAATCTGTTATAAATATTTTTGTAAACATGTAGGCCTTATAGATAAATAAAATGTTTTCCTGTGAGCTTCTGTGGAAAAATCACGACCAAATGCTTTATTAAGAACACCCAAGTTCTTCCTGTAATAACTGCTTTAGCTCCATATTTAAACCCTAGATTTCATATTCTAAAAAAAACAAGCATAGCCAACTTTCTCCTTTATTTTCAAGTTTATCAGGACAAAAAAAAATCACAATGAGAAAACTTAGTGATGTTAAAAATGAGGTTAATATAAATGATTATATATAACTTGTCATTTTCAAGTAGTATATATCATTAATTATTTATAAGAAAATAAGATGAAACTAACGTATAATAATTACTTTTAAATTATATTGATATAAAGTCTCTGTTATATATGTGTACTATTTTTTTAACCCAGCTCAGAGAAAAGAATTTGACTTTTTGAATATCTAATAAGCTCCTGGATAATAAAATATAAAGTTTAAACCATATACAGAACATGGAATGCACTCAGAGTTTGAAAGTCTTCAAATATATTCCAAAAATTAAAAAAAATTCATATTTACATTAGGTCTGTTAGGTCCAGGAGGTACTGCATTCATTAAAGTATACATGTTATCGCCAGAGTTGGTTGAATCTGAAACAAAGTATTACTTAATTAAAATATTTCTTTAGAATCTATACCCAATTCATCACAAAGTAACGATCAAAGATGGTTTGCATACATACACCTCTCTATATAAGCTGCAACACTTGAAATTGTCATTACTAAAAACAAATACCCAGTCATTTGCTGACCCCAAAATTATCATTCTGAGGCCATAAATTAGGTATGAGGAATAATCACTTCAATAATTAATGTAAAAGGAATATTAGAAATTTTAAAAATTATAGTAAAGTTTTTCTTTTAAAAAAAGATACTTCTTCACTTCAAGCAATTATATGTGTGTGTATGTGTATATATATAATATATAATATCTCTTAAACTTCAGATTCAGTTGCTTTTCAGTTTTATTTCTTTAAGTTTCCTATATACAAATTTAAAAAATAGCTTTTTTACTTAATAATTAGTGAAAACTGGTAGACTATCCTGGCTTAATTCCAAAAGAAAAAGATTAGAGTATACAATTAGAATAATGTAATTCTCTTGCTTGAACTAAAAGCCAGCTTCTTCCAGCACAATTTCTGATGAAATGTTTTCACTCACTTTATTTTTGATTTATTGTAGTAAAAATATCTGTACTACATATCCATATAAATATATGTAACATTGTGCAGTATTTAAAAAATTTATGTTTCATGTCTGTTAGCTAATTCTAATTAAGTCTCTGAGCATACATGTTTGTATAATATAAAACCTAGAGTGAAAGGCTAAATATTTTACACTGAGAAAATATAAATGATAAATTATGGTTTTCTATGTTTCCACATTATATAATTTTCTTAAATATAATGCAGTAGGCCTATTTTATTTTGTTTTTTAGACGGAGTTTTGCTCTATCACCCAGGCTGGAGTGCAGTGGCATGATCTTGGCTCACTGCAACCTCTGCCTCCTGGGTTCAAGCGGGAACCCTTGCCTCAGCCTCCCATGTAGCTGGGACTACAGGTGCGTGCCACCACATCCGGCTAATTTTTTGTACTTTTAGTAGAGATGGGGTTTCACTGTGTTAGCTAGGAGGGTCTTGATCTCCTGACCCTGTGATCTGTCCATCTCGGCCTCCCAAAGTGCTGGGATTACAGGCGTGAGCCACCGCGCCTGGCCAGTAGGCCCATTTTGAGAAAAAGATGTGTTTAAAATTTTTGTGGTGATTCGAGACAGAAGGTAAGTATCATTTACTTTCTCATGGCAGTAACCATAGAGTGGCAATTACTTTTCCTTTTACTGTGTGATTACTCATTAGACATTAATAAGTTTATTATTTTAGCGTGCATTACTTACAGAGTAGGTCTCATGTCATTTATTGGTTGGCTGTCAACAATGACCCATAAATCTAAATACTGTATTTTACTTCTATTTGAATATATCATAATGTTGAAAAAGTTGGAGTGCCCACCTCATGTTGACCCTATTTGTTTATTCTAAGGAAGGTCCCAACCTACTTTTGTGGTCTTAACTGTTTTTACATCCTTGTGTATGCTGTATTCCTGTCAACCCAGGCTACTGGTTTTTTCCTGCAGGTGACCAACCTTTCCACCTTCATGATTTTGTTCTTTCTTCCTCCAAACAGCCCAGTCTCTACACACTGCAATTCTACTCACTGCTGAAGGGCTATCTCAAATGATGTGTTCTGTGAGGTTTTTTTCCTGGTAGTTGCAAGTGCATGAATGCTCCCCTCCCACTGAGTTCTGCCTTCCATTATAGGAATATTTTACTGCTTTATTCTTTCCTCCTGCTTCCAACTAGGATATAATAAGCTCACAGAGAGAAGGAAAGGGACCATGCCTTACTCATCTTGTGTACTAAAGACAGTAAGTACTGCTAACTTAAATTTAACTGTTGGATCACACACACGATTAACTTAAAAAAATCTTGGATTGCTTTTTAAACACAGGAAATCTTCAAATGGGTTTTCAACTGTATTGGCCTTACTCTTGGTGAAAGGAAGATGGGTTACATATTTTAAATATGCAGAAAGAAAAGAAATTTATCATTTTAAAGACTAATCAAGAATATAATTTCATCTGCTACAGAAAAAATTTGAGAGGGATAAGATTGGCATTTATGGCCGGGTGAGGTGGCTCACACCTGTAATCCCAGCACTTTGGGAAGCCAAGGCAGGTGAATCACTTGTGGTTGGGAGTTCCAGACCAGCCTGGCCAACATGGTGAAACCCTGTCTCTACTAAAAATACAAAAATTAGCCAGGTCTGGTGGTACACGCCTGTAATCCCAGCTACTCGGGAGGCTGCAGCAGGAGAATCGCTTGAATCCGGGAGGCTGAGGTTACAGTGAGCTGAGACTGTGCCACTGCACTCCAGCCTGGGTGACGGAGACTCTGTGTCAACAAAGAAAAAATATGTATGTGTGTGTGTATATATATATGTGTGTGTGTATATGTGTGTGTGTGTGTGTGTATATGTATTTACTGGAAAATGTCTGACTTCTTTTTACGTACAGAAAAACTTTACAATAAAGTGGACCTCCTGGGACCTCTTTTCTTGTGGGTGGGGTGCTGGCTGAGTATTAGAGGAGTGACTGTGACACAGGATGAACACATAAAAGAGTACGCAAAAAGACTAGGAAGATGTACTTGTGGCAATTTCTGGTTTGAAAGGAAGATGTAGTAAGATTATTTATTGCCTGCAATGTTCAGTGTTGCCCCCAAAACACTGTTTTAGTCTTGTAGTGAAGCATTTATTATTCACATGCTACCTTCATAAATTAAACATTAACTTCACCATGTAAGAATGTAAATATGGGCAAAATGATCAGGTGATATAATTCTATCTTCAATGAATTGTATCATTTTCAATGAAGATGCCTTCAGGACACAGACCATTAAATATCCAAGGAGTTAGTGAAGCAAAGTAAAATTTTGTATTAATTATCAAGTTTATGATTTTTCTAAATTAAAAGGGCTCAAAATTAAAAATTTTTATTGGTATGATCAACGATACTGAATTTCAAGCTTCCATCTTAATTTCAACAAGCCAGTTAAAAACATATGAGTTTAACAGTAAAACATCATAATCAAAAATACTTTATAATTATTATTTCCCATCTACTTAATCATCCCAAATAATAACTGATCAAGTTTTAGCCTATTTCTTTGTTTTCTACTTTCTAGATTTGTGTTATAGTTTCAAATGAAACTGTGATTATATTGCTGAATCATGAGATTTTATTTTTCCATGTCATTACAAATTCTTTGATAATAATAATAATGGCTCTATTATACTCCATCTTCCACCTTAAACATTAATTTAATAGTTCCACTAACACTGAATTAGGCATGAAGTTTGTGTCTACTGTTTTATTCTTGCGTATAACAAATAAACATTCTTCTACATAAATTTTGGGTTGTATCTCTGTCTAATTTCTAGTATGAGAATTATAGAGTCACATGGTATGAACCTTTTCATGGCTCTTGACACATTTTATCATAACACTTTCAAAGAGAGGTGTGCCAATTTAGTCTTCTACTGTTAACAACCTCAAGACACATTTAATAGTCTGTGTTAAAGTCTCAAAAATAAAGGATAAAACTATTTAATTATATAAAATGATTATGAAAATATTGATGTTTCAGTTTAGAAGATAAAAAACTTTTATTATTACACAGTGAATTTATTAGCTGACTAATAAATACTTATAGACATATAGGGTAAATAATACTGTAAGTACGTCTTCATCCTTCATTCATCTTAGTAGGATAATAGATCTCGTGACTCTGATTTGGCATTTGAAACCTAATGAATCCATGTATTTAATGTTTTATTTATTCAGAAATTTTCTAAATTGTAGAATATTTGGATAGTTTTCTCAGTCTCAATAAATCTTTAAGTTTGACACATTTTTGGGCAATTCATACGGATTAGCAGTTTTCATCCTGATTAAATCTGACAGCCACACCATAAGAATTTTCTAAATGCTTAACTGGATAATAGTTATTTAAGAACACTGTATTTCTTCCTACCCTGCTGCCTCTACTCCTTTAACCATCATGAGAACATGACTACTACTACCTTTATTTCATGCACAATTTCTATAGTCTGTGATTTTATTCTAATAATCAAATACCCATGTGGCTAGTTTGATTACAATACCTGCTGGACTAGGCATGATGGGTGTTCCTGGTGGCCCTCCACCTCCTGGAGGACCCTAAATAATTACACAAAATTTCAGTAAAAATAAGGCATTGCATAACAAAAAACAGAAGTTAGACTTATATCTATAATAATCCAATTTGAAAATAAGAACAGAAATAATTTTTCTCTATAATTTCCTTTCTTTGAATGCACAATCATTTAAATATTCTACAAAACATAATTTAGCTTAAATATGTTGAGACTGTTTTGACAAATTTCCAAAAACAATGAGCCTGTAACATTAATTCATTATTCATGACTTAATTATATCAGTTACAATGAGGTTAAGAAGAAACCATTCAACAGGGCCTTTAAAAATCCATACCACAGAAATAATTCATATGTATTTTTAGTTTTTATAGAAAGCTAACATAGTATTCACTTAGAAAATATCTTTAAAAATGAAGATATCTGCTTATTGATTCATATTTTTAAAAAAATGCACTGATGTCATTTCTTTCTTCTGTCAGCATCAATTGCAATGTTTCTGGAGCACTGTACCTTCCACTATCACGTCAATTAGAAATGAAAGGCACAGTTGACTAATGCTGTGGGTTACTGAGGCTGTAGCTACACAATCAAACTGAAATGGAGATTAGGTAATTCTAAAGTTAATTCAATAATTTCACATGACCAAAATAGATAAGTCAAGCAATGGGTTTTAGGCTTTTTCAGATGCTCTATATACAGCAATCAAATTAACTTTTAAATGGCAAAATTTTAACTTCATTCTGAAGGTACAGATACAGCCTGCCAATTATTTCAGATGAGATTGGGCACATTCAGGGTGGTATGGCTATAGACCTGCCAGTTATTTCAAATAATATCTGTATTTGCACAACTTAAAATTTATTTTAAATAAATGTCTATAATTTCATAAAATGATGTATCAGCCTTATTCATTAGTGACTTTAAGAAAAAACAGGTTTTATACAAATTTTCTTACTTTCATTTTTATTTCATAGAAAATGCAAAGAAAGACTTGCTTAATTTTATAGCTTACATGAACACTGAACACTAAGTTCACAGGTCCAAAGCAGTGTGTGCTTTTCACTATGTTAATAAAACACTATTTCCATGGAGAGTGAAATGCTCACTGATTTCCTTCTTATGCATTCTCTTTTTCCCCTCCAGCTAGCCATCACCTCTGAACATTTCTGTAGGAAAGATTTCCCTTGTTATCATTTTATCCTTGTTTCCCTGTTAGGCGTTTCCCTCTAAATGGTGTAACATATTTTCCTCTATGTTGATCTTGAGATGTGGCTAGGATCATAATGTGATGATGATTAAAAGGTCACTTGTAAGCTCAGGAGGCCATATAAAACTTGTTAATTTGGCTTCACATTGATATGAATTTTTGGAAAATTTTAATGTGTACTAAATGGTAATAATGATAAAAATAAGTGTTCTCAATTTCAAAGAATGACCAAAAAATGAAATGATTCCTCTAAATTATTAGTCACTATTCTGCTGTCTAATTCATTTGTGATTGGGGGAAAGTTTAATGTCTTAGACGCTCTGTGTGGCGCATAGGGTTGCATGGGGGTATAGATTATTCTCCTGGAGAACTGCAAATTCAAGCATATTATTGTGTAACTGGGGATTACTCTCTTCATGATTGGACAGAGTGTATTGTACTGGTTTTCAGAAACATATGCTGAAGTAAAACACAGTACTCAGGGCAATTCTGGCCAGATTGATAACTGTTTCACTAATGAACATCAACATATGTACTGAGGTTGGCAGATGAAACAACTCAAGATGTTCACTTCTTGGCCAATACACAGGGCCTCTTCTTAACATCTGGACAACTATTTCATTGCCCAAATAAAATGTAACATCAATTCTTATGAGCAAACAAACCCAAATGTACTTACTACATAATTCCCAGGAGATGCTGAGGAGTATGGTATCTGGAACACGAATAGGACAAAAAAATTTTTGATTCATGTAGCAATATGGACACTGACCTAAAATGAATTTATTTCATGATTTTTTGTCAAGTTTTAAAATGTATCACAAAGCATAGTAAAGGATAAAAAAATTTATGTCTGTTTAAGTACTGGAAAACTGAATAATAATAACTTGGATTCACACAAAAGAAGATAGATTTTAGTCAAGAGGATTTTAGACAGAATAACTGCTTTAAGTTACATTGGTTTCAGGTAAGTTGTACACATTGCATGATACTAATTACTTATTCTGTAAGTAGAAATATATATATATATATTTGTGTACATAAAAAATGGGAAACCAGAATTTTTCAAATCAGTAGTCTTTACACATACAATTTCTAAGCTATTTACTTTTTTTTTTTTTTTTTTTTTAAGACAAGTTCAGGCTACTACATTCATGCAGTATGGGTCAATACTTGATAAACAGCCCTTACCACTTCTCCATCCTTTTCTAATTAGATACTAGAAAACAATATAATAAATGCAAAAAAAGTTTGTTAATACGAGTCTCCAAAGACTATTAATTTGTGGGGATCAGATGTGGGTAACGAATTCCCTCTTTCTCTTCAAATCAAGCTTTTCACCAAGCTCTTTTCTAGAGATGGTATGGTATTAATACCACATTGCTGTGATAATTTAAGAAATGAAAAACCAGAAAACCTATGTTTAAAAGTAAGCCCTTGAGTGTGTATATTAATAGTGAAAGTTAAATCCAAATATTTTCTTTTTTCACACAAGCTAACTAACTCACTTGCATGAAGATGCTGTACATCTATAACAGATATTTTTGTCTTATTCTGAAGAACACCAATAGATTACTCTCTACTCGAAGTCAGACAGCCAGGGCCAGAACAGGATCCTTATAGTAGTGAAAAGATTAGTGCTTGTACTATTCTAAACCCTCTCTCCCAGTACCTGCCATATAATTAAACATAAAAATAATATGAAACCATAAAGTAAGTATAAGGAAGTACAACCAAGTTATGATTTTCTCTTGATAATTATTTGATTTTTTGGAAATATTTAATATTTAATATTAAGTTATTTGAAAAGCTTTTCTCCTCCATATTTGGTGTTCCTGCTTTGCCTTAAGCACAGAACACATGTCCCCGAGGCCCTGCTTGGTCTGCCTATGAGTAATTCAGCACTGCAGATGGCCACTGATAGAATGCCCAGCATCACTAGGGATGAGAATTAATTCTGCTGCGTACTGAGATTTTTTTAAGGCAGTAAACGTTTACTTCATTTAGTGAATGAATACAACTTTGCTCTCTTGGGTCCCCTTCAGTTCATTATCTACCTACCATTCATCCTCTGCTTCTCATTTTTTTGGAGGGGACAAGGTCTTTTTTGTCACCCAGGCTGGAGTGCAATGGGACAAACACGGCTCACTGCAGTCTCGACCTCCTGGGCTCAAGAGATCCTCCTACTTTGGCCCCACAAGTAGTTGGGACTAAGGCGTGCTCCACCATGCCTGGCTAATTTTTAATTTTTTGTAGAGATGCAGTTTTTCTATGTTGCCCACGCTGGTCTCAAACTCCTGAGCCAAGCAATCCACCTGCCTTGACCTCCCAAAGTGTCAGGATTATAGGTGTGAGCCACTGTGCCGGGCCTACTTCTCCTTATTTAAATGTGAGTCTGCCTTTTCCAAATCACCAATTTATCTATTGGCTCCTAGGACCAATTTCATCTCTCTCTGTTTTTAGCACTTGGCTCATGTTCTTCTGTCACTCTATATTGCCTATCATCATTCTTAAGCAACTTTAAGGTACAATCTAATTAGCCTTTAGATCTTTGGAATTTACAGTTCACTACCTTCCTTTCCTTTACAGTATACTCCCCTCTCCTCCATTTATGAGTATGGTCATATCCTAAGACTCTTTACTGAACAACTAACTCCCTTGCCTGACATCTTTCTTCTTCCTCATGATACTTACAAAAATTACTCTATATTCCAACCAGGGTTTTCTAGGATCACAATTCCACCATGTTTACTTAGTACATTATTTCTCTATTAGTTTATGACTAAATTGCCTCTGCCCCTGCTTCGTGGCACTGTCAACATTTTATTTCTCGCTCCAATGTCTTAAATTTATTATCATAAAGCCTACTTTGTTAATTTCCATTTCTTTGATCACCCTCTAGCCAGCCAACCTTTCTGTTTTAAAGCACAGATTTCCTGGAGAGAAACACAGAACAAGGTTGACAAGATCCAAAGTGTAATCATGCTCTCCAACTTCCACCTCATCTTAACTAATATCTGGAAGCATTTTTGGCTCAGCCTTTATGAAAGCCTTGAAGCTTACTGGTAATGTGTCAGTAAACCCAGTAAACTTCATGGGGGACAAAAAGCCCTGATTTATAGTATTTGCCAGTTACTGTGGTGTAAATATTTCCACATGGCAAATTTTAAGCTAACAGTGGTTTAACAAACAGCTCATGAAATTCCTGAATATTTAACAGTGGACTCTTGTGAGCTGGCAATCATGGTGATTACACCATCCTGAGTAAATATTCTGTCTTCCTGTCATACATTGAAGGTATCGGCGCTCTTGCTTTACCTTCATTTTCAGCTCAACATTCCATTATTTATAGATTTAAATTTTCATGTATTCATCCCAGATAGGAAAAAACAAACTTTCTATTTATTTCCAAAGGTAGCTTTTTCCCAAGTATCTCCTTCTTAAGTCCTTGCTCCTTTTATATTATTTATTTATTTTATTCTTTTTATTTATGTTTTGAGATGGAGTTTCGCCCTTGTTGCCCAGGCTGGAGTAAAGTGGCGCGATCTTGGCTCACTGTAACCTCTGCCTCCTGGGTTCAAGCAATTGTCCAGGCTCAGCCTCCCAAGTAGTTGGGATTACAGGTGTCTGCCATCATGTCCGGCTAATTTTTGTATTTTTAGTAGAGACGGGGTTTCACCATGTTGGCCAGGTTGGTCTTAAACTCCTGACCTCACGTGATCCACTCGCCTTGGCCTCCCAAAGTGTTGGATTTACAGGCGTGAGCCACTGCACCTGGCCTCCTTTTATATTTTTAATTTCTCCTTCTTCATGATTCCTTCAAACAGTTAAATATAATAAACATTTAAAAATACTTTTTAAAATGTTATCTCAACTAGTTGTTTAATTTCTTTCAATTTTTTGCCCTGTCAACCTCTTTAATTTTGGCATATGCTGTTTCTATTTCATAGTCTTTGATGTCTTTATTAAAAATCAGCATTTGGGCTCCTAGCCCTAGCACTAGTAGTGTAAAGGACGTAAAATATTAACAATATAGGTAGAAGTACCATGTGGGTACAGAAGACATATTTGAGCTGGACAGCTGGGACTTATAGAGAGTAGATGCCCATCAGAAAGACAAAGAGAAGAACTGCTATAAAAAACAAAGAAAGAAAGAAAAGAAATCATGGTTTATTTGGAAAATGCTATGCTATGTTATATAGCTGCTATAGTGTGGGGCTTATAGGGGGTTGTGGTAAAGGGTGAGGCTGCACAGTCAGACTATGAATGAATTTATGCTGTAGGAAGTAAGGAGTCATGGGTTTTATAGAGACACGTTCAAATGTATGTTTTTAAAATCTTTTTTTATTTTTAAATGTTTTGTACAGACAGAGCCTCATTTTGTTGTCCAAGCTGGACTCAAACTCTTGGCCTCAAGGTATCCTCCTGACACAGCTTCCTGAAGTGCTGGGATTATAGGCATGACCCACCACACCTGGCCCTAAATTTATGTTTTAGAGAAATAAATCTAGAGGCGTCATGGAATATGAATACAAGTTAGAAGACCATTGGAAAAAATCCAGGCAAGAGATGACAAAGAGTGACAGGCAGTGCTGATAAAGATAAGCAGGAGTAGGAGAATCTGAGGGTCATTTCACAAAGTACTTGGCAGAGCTTGGTGACAAACTGGGTATGGCAGACAAAGAAAGGAAGAAGTTAAGATAATTCCTAGGTTTTCAACTTGGTGACTGGGTAGATGATGGTGCTACTCATTTATACATAGGGAATTCAGGGAGTGGGGCAGGTTTGGGGAAATGTCTGATTATTGGATTTGAAGGCACCAGTAGACACTGAGATAGATATGATAAACAAACTTTTAGAAACACAGGTCTAGAACATATCAGAGACCAGGACTAACGATATAGCTTCAACTGAATAAATTTCTACTTTGTGCTGGACAAGATACTTGATCTAGGATTCAACTAGTTTTTGGTAGTTGAAACAACATGGTAACATTAAAATGAAAAAAAAAAAAAAAAAAAAGCAGCCAAGAAATATAATTAGAAAACATTGCCAATTAAGAATGGGTAGAGACCAGGCATGGCAGCTCACACATGTAATCCCAGCACTTTGGGAGCTGAGGCGGGAGGATTACCTGAGCCCAGGAGTTTGAGACCAGCCTGGGCAATATGGCAAAACCTTGTCTCTGCAAAAAAACAAAACAAAACAAAAATTAGCCAACCATGGTGGCATGTGCCTCTAGTCCCAGCTACTCAGGAGGCTGAGGTGGGAGGATTGCTTAAGCCCAGGAGGTGGAGGTTGCAGTAAACTGAGACTGCACCACTTGCACCACTGCACTCCAGCCTGGGCAACAGAGTGAGACCCTGTCCTGACCCACTCCCTCAAAAAAAAAAAAAAAAGAGAGAGAGAGAGAGAGAGAATGGTGGATATGTGACTGCATAAAAATCAGGAGAAATATAAAAAGTCAAGCAAGCTAGATTTTTAAGAAGGAGGTGGATGTAGTGATTAGGAAATATCTAAACTGGGTTTATTCTTGAACGCTGTCAGGCTTTTAAGCTTTTTACCTTTCTGTGATACACCTAAAAATAAATAATAAAAAAGTAATAAATATATGGAAAACTAAAGAAACATTATTAGGCCGGGCGCGGTGGCTCAAGCCTGTAATCCCAGCACTTTGGGAGGCCGAGACGGGCGGATCACGAGGTCAGGAGATCG